GATTGGATAACCTGACAAAACATATCGCAACTAGAGGTATTATGATCAAAAGAATTGTGCCATTTGCAATATATATGCTCTTCTAAATTTTGAATAGATGGCAAAGCATTGTGATCAATGATTCTAATAAAAATATTCTTGAGCAAGATATCAAAGACATGATCATAAAAAGTAAAGTCAAAGGTGTACTTTGATTTCTTTAGCTGATTCTTTTGTGGAGTCAGCTTTAAAGCTAGGCAAACGAATGGATCAAATTTAATATCAATCCATTTGTCCACACCTTTGTAGCTACTTTTGGGAAGCTTTTGCTTTGATAAACTAGCACTATCGGCATTGCCATATGGCATAATTTGTTGGCCGATAGAATCTGAATTTGTTTTATCATCAACAAATAAAGTGCCATTCTCAATCGGTCTTTTATAAGTACTAGCAAGGATATCTCTAATAGATGCAGAAATTGATATAGTATGACCAAATTGGAATTTGAGCAAAATATTTGTATTTTGTACTTTGTTGACCATGTTGGAGAAGTGTATATCCTTGATATGAATGAAGTTGTTCTTCATCTCCAGAGAACGATCAACAATAGGTGCCGAATCATCCGAAGATGCATCGATGGCTGCTGGAACCGAGAAAGTCGGTTTAGTCGACTTGGGCACTAGCAGGCACAACAACAACAGGGGTAGTCAGCCTAGCCAACTTAGGGTAGGTGATAGAGGCAGTCAGCCTGGCCGACTGGGGAGTCGGCGTAGCCGAGTCAGGGCTGGCAGCAATCGGCTCAGTCGACTTCAAAGTCGGCTCAGGCGATTCTAAGCAGGCAGGCAGCCCTCCTTTCTTACTTGTAGGGGTTTGATCTCCATCAATGATGCGGTAATCACTAGACAAGTGTACAACCCCTTTACCTCTTGAAAAATCAAGTCTAGCTCTTGTCTTGCGCTTCTCATGCTTTTCTGTAGCAAGACTTGTTTCTTGATATGTGATTGATTCAAAAATTATATTGTGTTGTTCAGCTTTTGTAGATGAACCTTTGCTTACATATGAATCAATTCTTTCTTTCATGCCCACTAGCAATCCTCTTTTAGCCGATGACTCAACTGCGATCGACCTTTTCTCATTAGTGTTTGCAAAATATTCATAGAATTGCTCCTCTAATTAAGACCATGAACCAATAGTACATCGGGGCAAAGATGTAAACCATGCAAAGGCAATACCGGTGAGGGATAAAGGAAAATTTTGTATTCTCATATAGTCTTCTTTATCGACAAACCCCAGCTGTGAGAGATATATACTAATGTGTTTTACAACGGTCTTATCATCTTCACCACTAAATTCATAAAAATCTGGTACCCACCAACCATTTAGAGTTTTCAAGTAATCATAGCATAATGTGTATGGTCTATGATAAGCGGGCACCTTCTATTTAGAGGGGCCATATGGATTTCTAGCGTGGGCTAAATCTTCATCAATTCGGCTAGAACTAGAAATAGCATATGAAGCCGAATCACAAGCAATAGCTTTCTTGCACTTTGTTGAATTTTCATTTATTCAGCTATAATCATTAGCAACCTGTGGAGCCGAATCACGAGTTTTAGCACTCGAATGCCTTGCAGAAAATTCACTAATTCAGCTATGGTCATGAGCAAAATATGAAGTTGAATTGTGGGCATTGATCTTTGCATAAGGTGCTGAATTTTGAGAGCAATTGGCTAAATAATTAGCATGTCACAACCAATTCTCTCATTCATCGGCATGTCATGTGGTGAAACCACATATTGTGAACTTATAGCAGATAAATAAGCATTTGCATGTTGCATGTTGCTAGTAGCATCAAAACTCAAAGAATTTACAATTGACATGGGCTCTTGACCACAATATTCATAATCCTGATGTGTATTATGAGGAGCATTAACAAAAGTATTAGCCAATGTAACATATCTAGTATCATTATAGCTAGCAACATCAACACGAGAGCTCATAGAACTTGCAAAATAATTATTGGGATCATAAGATGCTTTTGCAAGCTGTACCTCGAGGTAATTGTAGTAGTTTTGTGATGCAATACCATGGTACTCCATGACTTAGAACTTGGCAGCCTTGTTGAAGTTTCCAATAGCAAGCACAACACGTTGCAAAATAGCAAATGAGAACACGGGGGGTCAAAAACAGATGCGATCGACCTTTTGGGCCAGATGCAACGGTAATGGCGAGCTCAAGAAGATAGATCAGCGAGGAGTAGGGCTAGGGAAAGAAGATTCGGCTATAAAGTAGAGCCGAAGCAAATTCCTCCCCAGTGGAGTTGTCAAAAAGTGTGTTGATGTCAGAAGTGATCCGAATCAAACACCAACAGGGCCTTGGATGCCCGGGCCGCTATGGACCGAAGAACGCAGCAAGATCTCAAAATTTCGTGGTGAAGAACGGAGAGGTTTACAAGCAAACCACCAAAGGATAACCAACATGCTTACATGACAAAGAACCGGCTAGTTTTTAGGCAAACTAGCAAAAAAACCGTCGAAGCTCTCGCCCGGGAGAGACCCCGTCAGGGCAAGGACGTCTTCGGGTTGCCCTAGGTCAGCCGGCAAGCCTAGGGCATCATCCTTGTTCGTCGGATCAAGGGATAAACAGAATAGGGGTTGGAGAAAAGGGTAAAAGGGTTCGAGTAGAGATAGTAAATTGATTTGTTTGATGATTGGATAGATGGGAGCTCAATCGGCCATGACCTTCTCATATATATAGAGGGGGGGGTGCTCTTATCCCAGTAGGAAACCTCTCCCAGACTTATTTTTCAAGTTTCCCATAAGTTTGGAATAGTTCGGATTAGAATCCAAAATGCCTGATCTGAACATGGTCTGCCGGAAGTTCTGACCTCCGCCGGAACTTCCGGGAGTCGGAACTTCTGACCGTTGTCGGAACTCCTGACATGGGGATCACCCCGAGCAACCGAGCAGGTTTTTTCAGGCTTCCCGCCAGTTTTGACAACTGTCAGAACTTCCGACAGTCGGAACTTCCGACAGCCGGAACTTCCGACTTGGGCCGGAACTTCCGACTTGGGCCGGAACTTCCGATTGGGTCGGAACTGTCGGCAACGGAGCAATCTTCCCGGGGGCATAACTCCTTCGTCCGGGCTTCAAATTTGAGGTTCCATATATGTTTTTTGATCATCTCGACGAGAGGAACGCAATGATATAGTCTGTTTTATATTTTGAAAACTTTACAAAATAGACAATTTTGGTTGTCAACAGATGCCATAAATCTCTGTAATTCTCTCTATAATTTTGGTCATACCTTGAGATGCTTTGACTCTCTAAGAAAATTAGAATGACTTATAATTTGGGACGGAGGGAGTATAAAGCATCAACAGACAATTGTTTCCTCTAATTATTGCCTCTGTGATCCACCTAACAACTGGACAAATCAGAATATTTCCTCGACTGATCTTATTAAAGAGGTAGGAATCCGAGGATTCAAAGGAGAGAACCATGATTCATGAAGTTGGTTTTGTGAATCCTGAGTGGTACTCAAGAGTGGGACAATATGCTTGTGAAAGAATAAAAAAGCACCTGATGCGTAGGGTCTCACCAGCTACTACTGGATACAAGGGAAACTGAAGTATATTACTCTCTCGGAGGCGCATTCCACCGTGGCATGCAACAATTTTCCCAACTCAGCAGAATTGAACTTTTCTGAATTTTTTGGATAATCCTGAATGTTAAGGACCTATCTCTATGGTTGATACCTATGCATGCGACTCTGAATTTGATTTCTATAGGGGCACAACTTCAATAGTAGCACTTCAATGTGTGCAGGGTACTCATAGTTTAAATAGAGATACTCAAATTTCTTGTTAGTTTTTTTATCGTCGAGTTCACCTCACTGAACATTTGATTGCAGAGTCAGCAAATTTTCAGAATTTCCATGTTGAATCTTTAAACAGGGAGTGCCGCTTGCTCCATGTATAAAATTTTTAGCAAATCAGTTTCAGACTTCAGAGTGAATCATCAGAGCAGGCAACTTGAAACTTGAGGTACATTTATATTTTATAAACTTGAGCATTTATAAAATACACAATTTCAGGACAGTATAAAATAGAGCGTTGAAATTTAAGTGTAATTTCATTGTATCAAAATAATTTGAGATTCAATACCTAACCAAAATTCTCAAAGAACCATCGGTGTGAGTCATGCAAATTTGTCAGTCTATTAAAAGCATACGGATTCCGTATGGAAGATTTGCATCATGTCTAGTCTTTGCTCAGTTTATGCGGTGACAAATGATGTTCAGAATCCAGAATTAGTGTTTCCTGAACTGAAACCATACCTATTACTGAACTAGCAGGAACATAGACAGCTGCTTGATTTCTTCAATACGTGTTTCAAGCTGATGCTTTAATTTTTAATTCAAAGATGCATTGGCCGGATCCATCCTTGAATGTCATATCCCCTAGCAGCGCATGACGTCTACTAGATATGAAACCGATTTCAGAATCTGACATATCAAGTTAAAATTGATCAGGGAAGTCATGCTTTTATTGTTGTTGTTTCCTGAACTGAAACCACACTGTTAAGTACTGAACTAGCACAGGAATATAGCTGCTTGATTTCTTCACTATCACAGATATTTGTAATCGGATGCTTCAATTTTAATTCAAAAGACGCATGATCAGATCCATCCTTGAAATTCTATCCTAGCAACACGTGTGAAACAGGAAGAAGATCATAAGAACCAGAAGCAACGCAAGTTAAAATCGATCAGAGAAGCAAAGAACTCAGATATTATATGTCTCACAGCAGACCCGAATTGTGTGACACGATTACACGAAGAAGACACAAGACACACGACCTGGTAAGCTACTACTGAACATTGTGACCTGTAGCAACAGTGACACTTCTTGGACCCACACGCAGAGATACACCAGTAGGCATCACCATTGACCATCGTCGATCCATTTGGGCAGGCTGGATGAGAACTTGCATCGGAAGGAGGAGGATACTCAAACGGACACCTCAGTCGACCTCCTCCATCTTGCTCTCCTCGGCGGCGCCCTCCTCAAGCGCTGGAATGTCGGCGTCCTCGTCGGCGGCAGCATCTTCGTCGATGTTGAGGCCGAGCTTGAGCATCCTGTGGATCCTCGCGGCAAACGTGTTGGGGTCGTCGAGGCTGAACCCCGAGGTGAGCAGCGCGGTCTCGAAGAGCAGCAGCACGAGGTCCTTGACGGACTTGTCGTTCCGGTCGGCCTCGGCGCGCTTCCGGAGCTCCTCCATGATGCCGTTGTCCGGGTTGATCTCCATGGTCTTCTTGGAGGACATGTAGGCGCCCATGCTGGTGTCCCGCAGCGCCTGCGCCTTCATGATCCGCTCCATGTTGGCCGTCCACCCGTACTCGCCGGTGACAAGGCAGCACGGTGAGTCGACGATGCGGTCCGACACCACCACCTTCTCAACGCGGTCACCCAGGATGTCCTTGATCACCTTGCAGAGATCCTCGAACTGCTTCTTGCGCTCCTCCCGGCGCTTCTTGGCCTCCTCGTCGTCCTCGTCCAGCTTGAGGCCCTCCTTGGTTGCCGACACCAGCTTCTTGCCGTCGTACTCCTTGAGCTGGCCCACGGCGTACTCGTCGATGGCGTCCACCATGAAGAGCACCTCGTAGCCCTTCTTCTTGAGCCGCTCCAGGAACGGCGAGTTCTCCACGGCCTTCTTGCTCTCGCCGGTGATGTAGTAGATGTCCTTCTGCCCTTCCTTCATGCGCGTGACGTAGTCCTTGAGGCTCGTCATCTCGTCGCCGCTCTTGGTGGAGTGGTAGCGCAGGAGGTCGGCGAGCTTGGCGCGGTTCTGCGAGTCCTCGTGGATGCCCAGCTTGATGTTCTTGGAGAAGGCGTCGTAGAACTTGGCGTAGTCCTCCTTGTTCTCCGCGATCTCGAAGAACATCTCGATGCACTTCTTCACCAGGTTCTTGCGGATGACCTTGAGGATCTTGTTCTGCTGCAGCGTCTCGCGGGAGATGTTGAGCGGCAGGTCGTCGGAGTCGACGACGCCCTTGACGAAGCCGAGCCACTCCGGGATGAGCTCCTCGCAGTTGTCCATGATGAAGACGCGGCGGACGTAGAGCTTGATGTTGTTGAGCTTCTTGCGGGTGTCGAACAGGTCGAAGGGCGCGCGGCGGGGCACGAACAGGATGGCCTTGAACTCCAGCTGCCCCTCCACGGCGAAGTGCTTCACGGCGAGGTGGTCCTCCCAGTCGTTGGTCAGCGACTTGTAGAAGGAGGCGTACTCCTCGCGCGTGATCTCCTCGGGCTTGCGCAGCCAGATGGGCTTCTGCTTGTTGATCTGCACCCACTCGTGCGTCACCTCCTTCACCTTCTTCTTCTTTTTCTTGCTGTCCTTGTCGTCGTCGTCGTTGTCCACCTCCTCGACGTCGCCCTCCTTCTTCTCTTTGCTATCCTCCTCATCCTCGTCGTCGCTGATCTCCTTCTCGGTGGTCTTCTCGGTCCAGAGGTAGATGGGGTAGCTGATGAACTCCGAGTGCTTCTTGACGAGGTCCTTGAGGCGGCGCTCCTCGAGGTACTCGAGTTGGTCGTCCTTGAGGAAGAGCATGATCTTGGTGCCCCGGCCAAGCCGCTCCCCCGTGGTATCGAGCGTGACGGTGAAGGAGCCACCGGCTTAGGACTCCCAGATGTTGTGCTTGGTGGTGACTAGGACCTTGTCAGCGATGAGGTAGGTGGAGTAGAAGCCGACCCCGAACTGGCCGATCATGGACACGTCGGTGGTGCCCGCCGCCAGCGCCTCCATGAACTCCTTGGTGCCCGACCGCGCGATGGTGCCGAGGTTGTTGACAAGGTCCGACTTGGTCATGCCCATGCCAGAGTCGATGATGGACAGCGTCTTGCTGGCCTTGTCCAGGACCAGCCGGATGAAGAGCTCCGGCTGTGCGTCCAGCTTCGACTTGTCCGTCAGGCTCTCGAACTGGATCTTGTCAAGTGCCTGCATTGCAAGTTTGCCATTGATTAGATTATTGTTGGGTGTAAAGCAGAGCATTTCAATTCGCGAAACAGAGCATCCTGAATGACAAGAAGAGCGCAAAATAGAGGATCAATTCTATCACAAGATGATGATTTGATCGGGAAGGAAGGAGGAACTTACATCGGATGCGTTGGAGATGAGCTCCCTGAGGAAGATCTCCTTGTTGGAGTAGAAGGTGTTGATGATGAGGGAGAGCAGCTGGTTGATCTCGGCCTGGAACGCGAAGGTCTCCGTCTCCGCGCCGCCGGCCATGTGCACCTCCGCAGACGCCATTGCCCTGCTTGTGCTTGCTCTCGACGAGACTGTTGTAGGAGAATCGAATCGAATGCTTTGTTGCCGCGGCTGGATTGCTGAAAGGCAGGCGATCGAACGCTCAATTGATGCTTGCTTGGTTTCCTGTCACGCCGATGTCGGACGAACAGATGGCTGCTTTTATAGGAGGACAGTGGATGGATCTGGGAGGGAGGGTTCGCAGGTGTTCCAGTGTCTTCACAAGCTTTCCCGTGCTCACCGCAGCGTCCTGCCCTGCTCGCACTACCGGCTGTTCCAGAGCCTTCGCCTCTCTCTCTCTCTCTCTGTTCGGCGAGGCGGTGGGACGGCAGGGGACATCCCAGCCGCTTTCCCGAAGCTTCTGCGGGTTGTTTCTGGGTGGATGGAAGGGGGAGCCCAACGCAACGGATCAAATTGACTAGAGGCCCAGTTCGTTGGTTCCATTTGACTATGCACACCGGTGACCTCTACGTGCCACCCACCTGCCCTCTACATCACCGCCACCCCTGCCGCCCCCACACACACCCTCTGTGCGTCGCCGCCCAGCTCCACGCCGACAAGCCTCCATTCGTCGAAGCAGCGAGGAGATGTTTACGCTGAAAGAGCATGTTGCAAAAGTATATTTTAAGTGTTTCAGGTGTTTTAGCGGTATGTTGCAAGTATTTTATATAGATTTTGCAAAAGTATATTGGGATATTGCACATGTTGCAATGGCTATACGCGTATGTTTCGAGTGTATGTTTCAAATGTTTCATATGTATCAGACGTATGTTGTAAATGTTTCATCTGGATGTTGCAAAAGTAGATCTAGATGTTGCATATACATGCATGTTACAAACATATATTTGAAATGTTTCAGGTGTTTCATACGTCAGTTGCAAGTGTTTTCATCTGGATGTTGCACATGTTTGCAATGACTTTTCAAGTGTTTTGTAGGTGTTTTGCATGTGTTTCAGACGTATGTTGCAAGTGTTTCAGCCTTTTTCGGACGTATGTTGAAAGTGTTTCATCCGGGTGTTACAAAAGTAGAACTGATGTTACACATGTTGCAAATGGGATCCACCTGCTGCAGCTGCTGGGTGACGTCCGGGCGACACGTGCCCGTTGCTGGGGCGCCGCCGAGAGGGCGCAGACGGGCGCGTGAGAAACCAAGCCCAAGCATGGGGCCCACGTGGTGGGGCGCGAAAAACAGACGGTGCGAGCTCTTTATCTTGCGCACGCGGCACCGTCTGATGCTAGCGTCTCAGACCGGATGTCCGGGTGCTAGCAATTTGGCTTTAAAAATCAATAAGGCATCTGTTTTCTATAACAAAAGGCCATCTATTGTCAGTGAGGAACTAGCTGGAACGAGCGTTATGATCCTTGAGCTACTCAATGCTCTGTAAAAAAATTGTTGCTGTTGTAAAAAAAAATGCTCTATGATTTAGCATAGAACTGGAGCCAATATGCTTTCCTACCTGAAAAAAAAATGGTTCGCAATTGTTGCACATTGGCTTCTACGGGTTTTATGGTTCTGGGATATGGCTATGCACTGTTTGTTATGCTCGCTATTACTGGCTGGAAAGCTAAATTTCGAATTTGAAATGTTGACCGGTTGCTATATACTCCCTCTATCCCTATTTATTTGTCGTTATGGTTTGCGAGCTGTTTAAACTTTTTAAAGTTTGACTAGATTTGTAGAAAATATTAGCAACATTTATATCTCCAAATAAATTTATTATGAAAATAGATTCGACAATCTATCTAATGATACTAATCATGCACTATAAATATTAATATTTTCTTGTATATATCTGGTCAAAGTTGAGTATGTTTGACTTTTTGATAGCGAGAACGACAAATAAAATGGGACGGAGGGAGTACAAGTCAACACCTTTTGTGTTTATAAAAATATTCAAAATTTTCATTTAAATGTTGAGCTAGTTTCCAAATTGTTGAATGGGGTTTTGATATTTTTAAATTTATTTGTTGAAGTATTGATAAAGACTAACTACCGTAAGGTGATCACAAGTGACAAAGAAAAGAGAAAAGTAAAAAAAAAAAACAGCCAGGTGCCTTGCCAGGCTAACCTTTACAGTCTGGGCCGACTTCTGCGATCTAGGCTGTCACCTTTGTTCATCAGCTTCTGCGTTTAAGTGTGGCCCGGTCCGGAAAACGGTACATGGGCTTAGTGGGCTATAAAATATATGCACGCCAAACAACATTTACAATTCTTCTGTCTATCGTGAAATTCTTTTCTACGATCTGAATTTCCTTTCCACGTCCTCTGAGCTTACGAGTCTCATCCAATGGTGAAAACCAATGGAAAACTATTAGCACAAACTATTCTGACTACAAATAAAGTGTTCTTATTGAATCCACTACACCACTCTCTTTTTTTTAACTCATCCGAGCTTATGGAAAGTGGCCGAGGGTGAGGTGAAACAGGGCGCGGGGGCAACTTATGTCGTGTTTGGTTCGATAACTTTGAGATGTTATCCATTCACAAGGCAATCTGAATCTGTCAAATTTATATACAAGTTAATGGTTTACTTTATATTACCTTTCATAATGTCATATGTAGGTAATTTCAAGTAGTTTTTGGGGGTTACTTTTGCAACATCTTTTATAGTGATAGATGTGTGAATTTGAGATACACATTTTTAGGCTTATTTTAAATAATAATCTTTCATGACAATAGGGGTGAGTGATTTGTATGAAAAGTTAAAGTGTTACTTTATATATTTTTCATAATGGTAGACGCGGTTAAATTTTTAGAAATAGAATATATGTGGTGGCTATTATATACTGGTGATGATGAATAGAGTATACCACAAATTAAAAGTCAAGTATTTATGATTTTTGTCTCAAATTCTAGTCTTTATCTTTTTTTTTTCATTTCGTGTCTCACAAGGATTAACGTGAATACTCTGGTTAAAATTAAGATTATAGACTATAGAGGAAATAACTACTACCCTATGCCAGTGCATTGAAGATTGATCAGACAACATAGCTTAATTGGTGTGCTGCGTGCGAGATGAAGGTAGAAAGAGACAGAGGTCATTTCTAGTTCATTTTTACCCAAATCCAAAAGCTCCTAAAGGTGAGTGAGACGTCCTTCTTGTGTTTTTTTTTGTCTTTGTTTTTTTTTTAGTTTCTTATTACAATGTTTTCTTACAGAGAATTGGCTATATCCCATTATAGGTGCGTTTTGCAAAGAAAAAAGATATCCCATTGTGTTTCTAGTTTTCTATTATATATTATATGATAAAAATGTACCCTGAAAAATATGGAGCAAATAATGTAGCAAACATATACAGAACTCGGCGTTATTATGAAAGACTGAAACAAAGTAACGCCGCTGTATGTATATAATTACTTGGAAAAAACTATATGGTCATTTGTAAAATTTGTTACACTGGCGGTTCACTTAAGGAAACCATCAGTGTTAATCTAATTAACACTAGCGGTTGCCTTACACCAACCCCCAGTGTAAATCTAATTAACACTAGCAGTTGCGCTAAGGCTGCCGCCAGTGAAAATCTGTTTAAACTGGCGCATCCAAAGTAACCGCATGTAGTATTGTTGATTTGTACTAGCCTTTCACACTAGAACTGCTAGTGCTGGGATCCGCTGTACTAGTGGCCGCACGCCCTCGCCTGCCTGTGCCGCGCGCCTGACTGCCATGGGTCTCCATTTGCCCATGCCGTCTACCCCTGCCTGCTTGGATTTGACACCTCCACCTAGTCGTGTGGACTCCTTCCGCCCGCCATAGGGATGCTCCATCCGTCTGCACTGCGTTGGGGCGCACCCATCCACCTACAACGGCCATCTCCATCGCGTTGGGTGCCTCCACCGTGTCAATTTTGCCACACCGCCCTCGTCATGTTGCGCTGAAAATGCGTGTTTCAAACGTATGTTCCAAGTATTTTAGATGTTTCACAGATATGTTGCAAGTGTTTCATATGGATGTTATAAAGGTAGATCCGGATGTTGCACATGTTGCAATGGCTATACAGTATGTTCCAAGAGTTTGTTCAAAATGTTTCATCTGTTTTCAGACACATGTTGCAAGTGTTATATCTGAATGTTGCGTATATGTTGCAAACGCATGTTCTAAATGTTTCATCTATTTTAGATGTATGTTGCAATTGTTTTCTCTTAGTGTTGCAAAAAGTAGATCTGGATGCATGTAGGGCTGTAGAGAGAGCTAGTGCGGGAGCCATGGCGGCGTCGGCTGGTAAGCTAGCGACAGCGCTCCACCGGTGGACGCGTAGGGCCACGTCCGTGATAGTGTATGCGGCCCTGGAGTGGGTCCTCATCGCGCTGCTCCTAAATCAACGGCCTAAGCGCCTACGCCATCACCATGTTCGCGGTCTACTTCGGGCTTGGTCGAGCGTGGGCAAGGGAACTTCGTTGGGCACGGGCAAGGGAGCTTTGTCCGGACGGACGCTGCGTTCGGAGCAGGATAGGCGCGGGCGCGGGCATTGCATCAGGCGTAGACGCGGAAGCTACATCAGGACGAACACCGTCCGGGCACTAATGTCGCCGATCAAAGATTGTACTATTCAGTACTGCTAGTACAAGTAGAACTACCCGAGTTCTATATATGCTAAGATCCTTTGATGTTATTTGTGCAACAACATGTAAATCTGAAAATACATTGATAATTTAAATCACTATTTTTTTTCTGGGAGTACCTAGGCACAAATTTTAAAGCTATTTTTTACACATTGATCCATGGGAACCAAATAAAATCTCCCAACATATGTGAAAACTCAAAAATATCTGCATATCAATACAAAGTGATTGAAAGACCTGTGAAAGCCAATAAATCGCTCTTGTTTTGTTTAATAAAATCACGGTTAGGATGCTGGCCTACCTTTTTTCTCTAGAAAAATATCTGAAGGCATGATTTGCATTGTGGCAAATCCATCCACACACACATACGCTAAAAGAGAAGTACTAGCAGCTAGAGGTAGAGTGAAAGAGATATAGTACTGTACAAGCAGCTAGAGAGAGAG